ACTCGGACACCAATTTGGTCCGGTCCGAGCGGTTTCCAGTTCAAGTGGTCCGATTTGCACACTACTAGAAATGGGAGCTTCTTCGAGGGCTCCGTTTATTTCACGGAAAATAAATGATTTGGAAAATATTTTCCTAAAATCAATCGCCTACATTGCTTAAAATAACGAGTCAACAAAAGATGTTTTCAATACTAACAGCAATTTATATCTAAATATTTTTATGGACAATAAAAATATTTTTTGCCCATTCATTTTTATAAGCAACACAAGATATTACTTTTAGGAAAATATTTTCCAAGTCATTTATTTTTCACGAAACAAACACACCATTTCTTTCCCTTTTTTTATATTTTTTTGTGCTTTTTCCTTTTTCGGAACTTGCCTATATGGATTGTCTGGCCCTAGCATTCTCTTTCTCACTGTCCTGCTTGGATAGGGATTTTTGTGCTGCTATTAAAGGATACAAATTCAATGGCAATTTCAGCTAAATAATAAGATGAGTGGAAGAGAATATGAGATATTTTTAACAATCTAAGTTAACAAGTTTCGTAATTTTTAGGGCTAATATCACCAAAAATATCAAATTGATATATCCGTGCCACATTTATCCTAAATTAATTTTTGTATAACAAAAAATCTCAAACCGGTATATCCGTGATCAAAATCTTACGGTAAAACTAGGGCAAATGTGGCACAAGTGATGAGTGTACCAATTTGAGATTTTTTGTAACACAAAAATTAATTTTGGATAAATATCAATTTGTGTTGATGATATGAATCTCTAATCGCGTCGAACTCGGTTAATATTATATTTGTATGCATTTATTATGACATATTCTCGCCGGAGTGGCACTTAATTGTCACATCGACAATTCTATTTAGAATATTTTTACAAGAAAAACCAATTTAAATAAATAAAATACAATTCAATGGCACGATTGCGTAAAACAAAATCCAAAAATGACGTTGAACAAGTGCGAAAAATCAAAGGACCTCCATGCCATTGTCCCAAATATGAATCTACATTTGAATCAGCTCTTGCAAATGATTACGTTGCAAGAGTTGCATTTTCATAATGGCATTCCAAAAATTCGAAGTATCTTTTCAGAAACTTTATAAATGAATTCCCAACCATATCACGGGGCTCCAAAAAATTAAAGAATTCTTAATTATCCCCATAATATTGGCGGATACGAAGAAATAAAAGAGAATACGTCTAATGATGATTCAGGATTGAGAACTAGTTGACATCCAAACATTTATATCTAAAATAGGGGAATAAAAAAGTAGAACTATGGCACATAGCAAAATTCGTGACACGTGGCATGTCTACTGTCCAATTTTTTTAAGGGACAACTGCAAGAAACTCTCTCGACTTTACTCTCCATATCAAATGGAGCAATGCTAGGGTGACTGCTCCGTCATTCTTTTCCCTAGTGACGGTGCTCTCTTGATCACAGATATTTCATGGAACTGGACTACTTACTGAGCCGATTTTTCAGAGAAAATTAAGAGAAATTTCACTTGTTATATATTGTTTTGACGCAACATTAAAGAGAAAAAGAAAGAAACGATGCAGGTGCCACCAATACTTTAATTCTTGTAATATTGAGGATGTATTTTCCAACGTAGAAAGAATGATATTTCTTACATTTAGCTTTTCTTTTATTGTTGCATCAGCATCAGAACCATAAATGGCAGGTAAAAGATTTTACTTTTCTCGTGAAAACCGGTGGAGCAAAGTAGGCCTCAACTCTCTTTTCTTGTCATTTTTCTCTCCTCACGCACAGTAGCATAGCACGATAAGAGCGAGAGCCACCCGAATGACCGAGCCATCGTTCAACGCCACAGCCCGACCTGATGCCGATGCCGACGCCGACACCCTCGCCCTCGCTTCACCACCGTGCCCCCTTCCCCACGTCCCTATCTCTACTTGTGTCGAGATTGTTTGTGACTCGCGGTTGGCGGAGGCTGTGTGAGGTCGGCCTCGAGCCCCTCGAGCTCACAATGGCCATGGCGGATCCGCAAGTCGCCAAGCTCTGCCACGGAGCTTGGACATGGCCACATCGAGCTCTCGATTTGCACTTTGACCCGGCACGGCAATTGCCGCCGGCCTCGGATCTGAGGTCAACGACGGCCTTAGAAGGAGTAACAGCTGCTAGCCTGGCGGAAAGGGGGGAAACGTGGTGGGGGGTACGTCGGACTAAGCAAGTCTCGCATGTTGGGCGATGATGGAATTTTTAAAATGAGGATAGTTTGGTAAATAAAACGACAATTTGGTCAATTACGTGTGGATTGATAAATCTATGTTTTATAATGCGACTAAAGTATTTGATATGGAGAGCAAATGCGAAATTTTTTAATTTTGGAAATCTTTTATTTTTTTAAAAATTGTACGAGTGAAATGTCAACTAGCCCTAGTTGAGTAAGATAATGCACAACCAAACAATTCTGGCAACTATATGTGCATCGTCAACGTCATTTCTATATTACATAAATCATGTTGGCCTCTCCGTGGCCGAAGACCAAGAACTCGTCGTCGACCTTCAGATCATATAGTATTCAGTGAGCTTAGGCAGAAAATATTAGACTTTGCGTATATATACACACAAGTTTAATATTTTACTCTTTTGTTCCCCCTTATCTTGGGGCTCTTGCGATTATTGAAATTATTTTTTGTTATTCAAATCGCTCGCGACCTCTCCGGCGTTCTAATTATATTCTGGATCCTTTTGTGAAAGAACATAAAATCTCAAGTATCTTTCATGAATTTGTAGTGATCTTCTAAGAGTCGTTTTCACTCGATGAATTACATACGTTTTGACCTTGTCTTTTCGTCCGTATTGCATTTTACCTTATGCTAGTCTTAATGAAGAATTAGTTGACCCCCAACGTTTTTCCACCTGTCCAACTTGTTATATATAATCTTTAGCACAAATGAAAGAGTCATGAAGAATTAGTTGACCCCCCACGTTTTCCCACGTATCCAACTTGTTATATATAATCGGGAAAATGACACAAATGATCCTTAAACTTTGGCTAAATGTACAATGTCATCCCTAAACTTTTAGTACATATTTAAATTAGTTACCAGACTATATGAAAATGTTCAATGTTATCTTTCCATTAAATTTAGGGAGAATATGGAACATTTTCATATAGTTCAGGGATTAGTTTGAACATGTACCAAAAGTTCAAGGACCACATTGAACAAATTAAAAGTTCAAGGATCACATTGCACATTCGGGCTAAAGTTCAGGGACTACATTGCTCATTTTTAATATTTTACTCTTTTTTTCCCGTTGTCTTGGGGCTCTCGTAATTACTGAAATTATTTTTCTCTAATTTAATCGCTCACAACCTCTCTCATTTTCTAATTATATTCTAAATCCTTTTGTGAAAGAACATAAAATCTCAAGCATCTTTCATGAATTTGTAGTGATCTTGTAAAAGTCATTTTCACTCAATAAATTACATTCGTTTTGTCCTTTTCTTTTAGTCCGTATTGGAAACAAGGCCACTACAAGTGCCAAAACCTGTGTACAGCGCTCACTTTAGTGCCAAAAGTTTCTACCGGATCGCTTAAGTACCAAACTTTTTGAAAAGCGATCACGTAAGTGCCAACTCTGGTCAGTTTGGCCGGAAATCCGATGTGGCATTTTTTTATTAATTTCTGAAGCCGATGTGGCTCGCCGGAGGCTTAGTTCGCATGTACAGTCAGCATTTTTTATTTTAAATAATTTTATTTTTTTATTTTTTCCTTTTCTTTCCTTTTTTTTTTCCTTTTCTTTCGTTTTTGCCTATTCTGATCTACCGGCCGGTTGCTAGTGGCCGGCTAGGCCACCGGCGAAGCCTGGGAAGGGTTGGGCAAGGGCCTCGTCGGCGACAAGCGAGGCTGGCCTCACTAGCTGCCGGCGAGGGGCGGCCTCGCCTGTTGCCGGCGAGGGTCGCCTCGCCTAGATATGGCGAGGCCATCCCTCGCCGGTAGCTGGCGAGGCCGGAGAGGGTCTCCTCGCCCATGGCCGGCGAGGGGTGGCCTCGCCCATTGACGGCGAGGCCCTCGCCCAGCCCTTCCTGGGCTTTGCCGGTGGCCGACCCGGTTACCGGCAACCGGCAGGTAGATCAAAAAAGAAAAAAAAGAAAAGAAAGGAAAAAAGAAAGAAAAGGAAAAAAGAAAAAAATAAAATTATTTAAAATAAAAAAATGCTGACTGTACATGCGGACTAAGCCTCCGGTGAGCCACATCGGCTTCAGAAATTAATAAAAAAATATCACATCTGATTTTCGGTCAAACTAACCGGAGTTGGCACTTAAGTGATCATTTTTCAAAAAGTTTGGCACTTAAGTGATCCGTCAGAAACTTTTGGCACTAAAGTGAGCGCCGTACACAAGTTTTGGTACTTATAGTGTCCTTTTTCCTCTATATTGCATTTTACCTTATGCTAGTCTTAATGAAGAATTAGTTTTTTTAAGGGTTAGTACCACAAAAAATTCCAACATGCGATAAATTTACCAAAAATTAATTTTTTGACCATAAAAAACCCTAAATTGATACACCATTTACACTCCGTTAAATTTTACCGTCAAATTGATGAGTTGGATAATGCGTGGCAATTGACGAGTGTACCAGTTTAGGATTTTACCCCTCTATTTATCACCAATTTACCAATTTTTGTTTTTTCGTAGTATTAATCCAATTTAACGGATGATAAATTTGTTACAAATGTACTAATTTGAGATTTTTTGTGGTCAAAAAATTAATTTAGGATAAATTTATTACAGATGTACCAATTTAAAGTTTTTCGTAATATTAACCTTTTTTTTATAACGTTTTTCCACCAAGCCAACTTGTTGTCATCAAGAATTAGTTGACCGCCCGCGTTTTTCCACCCGCGTCTTTCCACCTATCCAACTTGTTATATATAATCTCTAGCACAAATGAAATCGTCATACATAATCTCTCTCTCTCTCTCTCTCTCTCTCTCTCTCTCTCTCAGAGCATGGCCGCAATCTCTTCGGAACCCATCTCCTTGTCGAAGTACCCACCATTACCGATCGACCTCCAGTTCGACCTCGACGAGGTCTTGACCGATCTGGCATGCTGTTCCAGCCTCCAACACAACATGGACATATCGGACTCGTTGCTCTCGGCCATGCCAACGGTGACCTCCGCAACCGGAGCCTGCCCGATTTGCATGGAGGCCTTCCGTGGCGACGACAAGCAAGCCTCCTGCGGCCACGTCTACCACGAACCCTGCATCGCCACATGGCTCTCGCTCGGTGGCTCCTGCCCTTTGTGCCGCTGCGACATTATCTCCTCCGCCTCCGAAACCTAGAACGTGAGGTCGACATACTTTTTAACTCCCCTTTTGAACACCGATCTTCTGTTTTTTAAAGTTTTCCTTCTGGAACACCAGTTTCCAAATTTCATGTATTTATTTTGACATCAATTGATGGTCCTCAGATGAGTTTTGTGGGTTTGGCCAATTTGCTATGATGATAAAACTGTCGGCAATAGAAAACTACCGATGACTCAAAATAGGAAAAATTACTCAAACTCATTTAAGAAACGCACGTGGAGCTGCTCGAGTGCTTTTTCTAAAATGAGAACGTGCACAGGAGAAATTGCTTGATCAGTCATAAACCTATTGTTATATTCCCTACCTTGAAACGTTGTGCGCTTCTTTAGGCCCTTTAATTTAAGGTCCCTGACGAGAGTTCCTCTATGGTGTCATATAAAATTATCTCAAAGCACGAGAGAAGGGGCCTAGGCCATATGTATCATCATTGAACTTTCCTACTTCCAATTCATGGCAGTCCCTTAATGCTCTCATCCTAGGATAGTCTCAGGTAAAAAGATGCAAATTCAGTTATAAATTTTTGCACGAAATTTCAATATAGTCATTCTGACAAATTTCATCAAAAATCGTTGATGTAGCGTTATGTCATGTAGGACAACTAGCGATGACATGATCGCCACATCAGCGATTATTTCTCGCAAAAGTTTAGAATTAAATTAGTAAAATTGAAAAGTTTAGGGCCGATTGGGTAATTCTCCATCTTCATGAATGTTTAGTATTTGTAGCATTTTCTCAGCTTGTCCTTCATAGATTTACATCTTTAGGCATTCAAGAGAGGTGATTATGGGCAAGTCACCGGCTTGGCCAAGCTTGAAAATTATTGTGTATTAAGTTCAATAATTTTAGCAAATAAAGAAGAAGTTTCATGGAATCTTTCTGCCGTGGATTTTGAACTGTCTTGGTCTTCTTTCTTATCAACTTCCAATAATACATGGCTAAAAATTTATGATGAAGACTCGGATAAGGCACAAGTTGGATGCGAACTTCTCTCCATCACTATCAAAATTAAACACGTAGAGATGGTCCATACTTGTCATGACATATCGGAATATACATATAAAGGAGAGCCTCATGAGGCATAGTATTCGAGTAAAATATTGGATACTCTTACTTGTTAATCACCATAATTAAAGAAAATTTGGCATTCTCAATATCGTGTATTATGCATAATCAATATTGAAAATGAAAACATTTCTTTAATGTATTAAAAAAGAAAACATTTCTTTAACGGGTATAATTAATAAGTATTCGGAGATACTCGTTAACAAAATTCATTTTAGAAAAAACAAGATAGTAATTAAGACCCATCACTACCGCAAACGCAAACCCACTTTGATTTCGCTAGCCATTTAGTCAAATACTTGATAGCGCAACTAGATAGCGCCCGATAATTATTGGAGACTTGCCATAGTCAACTTTCAGAACACGACAAAGGGTGGGCATTAAAGTCAAATTGCAAGTTGCCATCTAATCCAAATACATACTTAATTTTGGGGATAAAAACACTAAAAGTGTCTTAACTTTCGTACGATACTCACTTGATAGTTGTAACTTTTTTTTCGCTCACTTGATTGCCACATTGATGGAAAAATCATTCATTGAGTATTGCTTCTAGCAAATCGTTCTACGAGGATTTTTTAATTAATTTTTCAGGAAAAATTCCAAATAAGAATCCGAAGTGCCCTCACTTTCTCAAATAAGGGCATGAAGTGAACATTATTTCAAATAAAGGTATGAAGTGGCCAAGTGAGTCTCAAAAAAGGGCTTGACCTCACCAGCTAGTAAGGGCATTTTCGTCTTTTAATTTTTTTGATTTTTTTCCTTTTTTCTTTCCTTTTTTTCCTTTTCTATTTGTTTCCGTAAAAAACAAACTCAAAAAAGGAAAAAAAAAGGCTAAAGTTAAAATAAAAAGAAGAAGAAGAAGAAAGAAACATGGGGTTGCCGGCCATCACCACCACTCCGCCGGTGATGGCCGGCACCAAAAAATACAAGTAGGAGGGCTAGTAATTTTTCTTTTTTCCTTTTTAAAAAAAACTTTTATCTTTTTAAATTTTTAATCTATTTTAATTAAAATTTAGGTTAGAATTGTTTTTGGATGAAAATGCCCTTGATCGGTTGGAATATTTGGCCAGGCGGCGAGATTAGGCTCTTATTTGAAATTATTATAGCCATTTTACACCCTTATTTGAGAAAATGAAAGCACTTCAGACCTTTATTTAGAATTTTTTCAATTTTTTATTCCAAAGTGAATTTTTTAAAAATAAATTTAAGACCAACGTGGGAATTTTTGTCCAGCATGGCTAAACTTCGTTCCCTCTCTCTTTCTCTCTCTCAACGCTTCCTCTTGGAAACTTATAGGCCCACAGAATTGAAAGAATAAATAAATCGAAGTGAGTTCTCTCTCTCTCAAAAATTAAGGCTTTGTCTTCTCCTTTACTCTCGTACACGCGCGCACGCTCTCTCTTTACCATGGTAGCCGAAATAGTTACGGTGCAAGAAAGTTTGTCGCGCAAGTGGCAATTTGTTGTGCAAGTGGTTGTTCTTCGCTTTAGTGGTTTTTCGTCGCAATTGGCCGTTCTTAAGGTCTTTTGTCAACCTACAGTGATCTTTTTGACTACGAAATAGTGTAGTTTAGTTGAGTTGTTAGTTAAAGTAGTGTTTTACTTTGTTTTGACGTCGATTCTCATTTAATTAATAGTATTATGAGATTGTTGACTTGTATAGCTACTTTGTTTATTTTGGGCATTCCCATGCAAGTGATGCAATCTTTTCTTCAAGTTTGTAAACTCATATTTCGAAAGCAAAATGGATTATATATAGTATGAATTATAAAATGGCATGTTTGTTGCATAAAAGTCTTAATCGGGCATGTACTACCTTTCAATTATTTATAAATGGTTTGAGAAACGTTTTATGAAAGGCGTTACGAAGTTATACATATCGATTTGTGAATTTGGTTTATGACTCGTGAAATGTCTTTTGTTTGTTGAATCGGCTGAAAGATTATAGTATTTGGTTTGTTACACCAATTGTAATATGGACTAGTTAAGGACGAAGTGCTACATGGCGATGCAAGTCTCGTGGAAGCCATATCTAGGGCCTTGTAGTCCAGGGCTAAGCGCTACATGGTGACGCGAGTCTCGTGGAAGCCACCTCCTCTAGAGCCTTATACTATTGATATGTGTCAATCAACGACTAAGGGGGTGTTTGGTTCAGCTTTGGGAAGGGGGTTTGAGCCCCGAAAGCCCTCCCAAAATACTGGAGTGTTTGGTTCAGCATTTGGCCTAGCATTGGCCAAATGCTAGCATTCCACGAATGCTACTGTTCACCAATATATATATATATTTTTTGGTTTGAAGCTTTTCTTCACCAGGCAGCCGGCGAGGGAGAAGGGCCGGCGAGGTCGGGCGACCACCGGCGAGCCAGATCTGCAGCCGCCGGCGGTCGCCCGAGGCTAGGCGACCCTCGGCGGGGTTGCACGACCCAGTGAGCGGCAATTTTGCACTGGGTCGCGGGACCTCGAGGCGGCCGTCGCACGGGTCGTGCGACCCGCCAAGGGTCGCACGGCCTCGGGCGACCGCCGGCGGCGGCAGATCTGGCTCGCCGATGGTCGCCCGACCTCGGGCGACGGCCGCCGGTGCCAGATCTATCTCGCCGGCGGCCGTAGGCCCTCGCCGGCGGCCAGCTCCGGCGATGGTAGGTTTTGTTTGTTTTTTTAATAAATAAAATAATTCTCAAAGTCCATTTGCAAAAAAAATTTACCAAACACTATATTTTGGCCAAAGTAGCTTTACAAAATATTTTTACCAAACACCATTTGCATTTTCCCAATGGGCTTTCACCCAAAGGTATTTACATTCCCCCAAGTAGCATTTTCAAAGTTGAACCAAACAGGCCCTAAGTGTTACACGATGATGCAAGTCTCGTGGAAGCCACCACAAGGGCATTATATTGATATAGGTTGGTCAATGAATAAGTGGTACACAATAAAATAAGTTTCGTGGGAGCCAACTCTATAGCCTTGATTTGGATATTTGGACATGGAATTGATTGGTGATATGCGATTTGAGATTGGTTAATGAAATGAACCATTGACTTGTAATTTGATGAGATTGATCAAACGGACTTAACCATTGATATTTGAATTGTGGTGGTAGATTAGATGACTTTTTCTAATTTGTATAAACTTTGTTAAAATGAGATAACTCATATTTGATTTGATATGTATATTACATCTTGGGTTTAGAGTATGAGTTGCTGGTATTGGTTTATTTATATGCATAGTGATTGTTTGATTTGCTTAGAAGAAATGTATTATTAATTGGGCCGTCGATGCTCACACCATTCGTCTTGAATGCTTTTCAAGTTCTTCGATTAGCGGCAAATAAAACGAAAGCGTTTGCGTTATCGCCAGGGCATTTTGATAGACGGATTTTTTTTGGCTAGGAGCTTAGTTAGTTGTATATTTCTGAGCTGCATATGATTGAGACTTTTTGTTTATTTAAATATATGCACCTCTAACATCAGACATATGCACCTCGATGTGGTGCATATGTTTGTTATAACACTTGAGTTTGTTATTTTTTCCTTTTCGGTTTAATTGTTAGTTAGAGATGTACATATATTCTTTTGATGGATTATAGAAAGTTTGATGTTATAACAAACATGCTAATTTATCATATATATTTTGATAATAGGTTGTTGGTTTTTGTTTGAGATTGTGCCCTTCGAGTGGAATGACGGCCTTGTCATTCCCCATTCTTGTTAGTTTCGGGGCGTGACACAGCAACCTCAAGTGGACACCATTAATTGGAGCGGTGGGGAACTTCCATTATAAGAACCCAAAGTATTTCAAACCTCACAAATTCATGCAAACTGGTTTGGGCTAGGGCCGCCAACACAGGCCAGAGGCCCAAATCAAACCGATCGACGTAGCTTGCAAGGCTTTTCACGAACCATCAAGTAGTCTGACCTCC